TATTCCAAGTTGAAGTTTTAGTTTGGAAGCCCATTGGCAGTTGTAATTTGTTTTGGACTCGAGTTCTTGATATCCTACTTCATCAACAACTCTACTATGAGAGTTTGGACATCCCCTACATGTTCTCTATAAATATTAGGCTATTCTATACAATTTTATGGTATAGGAAAATAGATTATTAGAATTATAGGATCTATTAAAATTTCTCTCTCTTATCCATTATTCTTGAGTCAATAAAATCTCTTAATTCTTCTGCCATATTCTTATATTTATTATTCTTTTACTTGATCATATATTTCATTATTATTTGCCATATAACTTCAATATCTCAATTCGGTGGTTTGTTTTACAACAATTGGTATCGGAGATATTCTGGTATCTTGTTTGTTTTACAACAATTGGTATCATAGCGCTAGGTTCAGCAGTTCCACAAGAACGCAATATTTGATTTGTTCGAGGTTTTTATTCGTGGTGGCTTCCTAAAGTATGACATTCCACTTTTGGATCGGAACACTAGATTTTCACTATAGTAGGTTAAGATGTATGCAGTACTCGCAAAACTGGATTTGGGTGTTGCATTGCTGGGAATTGACAAGATACCCACAACTTTGACCGCGAATGAGAAATTACGGAATGATAAAAAGACAGTTTCTCACATTCATCTTCATCTATCAAATACTATTCTTCATGACGTTTTGAAGAGAATTCAACAGCTGCTTTATGGTTGAGGGTAGAGCAATTGTGCATGACCAAAAGTTTGACAAGCAAGTTGAACATCAAGCAGCGTTTATACTCTCATCGAATGGCAGAATGAGGATCATTGGAAGATCACCTTAATGTATTTAAGGAGATCGTCGCTGATTTGAAAACTTTGGAAGTAGAGTATGATGAAGAAGATTTTCCCTTGATCTTATTGTGTTCATTGCCCACTTCGTTTTCTTCATTGAGAGACACGATCTTGTATAGTCATGATACTTTCACCATAGAGGAAGTGTATGATGTTTTGTATTCAAAAGAGAAGATGAAGCATTTGGTTTCTGAGGCTAGAGATGGAGAAGGCCTGGTTGATCGTGGTGGTTCTAGAAGGGGCAGATCGAAATCTAAGTTCAGTAATCAAATTTGTAACTACTGCAAGAAGAAGGGGCACTTAAAGAAGGATTGCTACAAATTGCAGAATAAAGAAAGGATGGCTGCAAGTAGATATTCAGATACTTCAGGCGAAGCAGACATCGCGGAGAACGTTGTAAGTGATGGGGAACTCTTAGCTATTTCTAA